CAGCCAAATTCAAGATACCCAAACCCTAGAAAAATCAACTATTTAATGCATACAATTCAAAAGGAATTCCCTAAACAATCCCTACAATCAATTTCCCTCCTAAAATCCATTCAAAAACCTTCCTATTCGGGCGTGCGGCTGAATCGGCGGCGTGCGTGCGGAAATGAGAGGCGGAGCTTCCGCCTCGTTATGGCTGGGGGGGGGGGGGGGGGGGGGGAGCTTCCGCCTCGTTATGGCTGGGCCGGTCCTGTGCGGACCGGCTCGACCGGTCCAGTGGACCGGTCTAACAGTGATCTTTGGAGAGCAAATGAGAGAGAGCATTAGAGCACTAGGCGAATGAGCATAGATAGTCAGATCCGAGCATCAGTCGCCCCCATTCTGTCTGATGGGGGCACTACGGGCTGAACCACCGGGTCATAGCCCCCGGTGCTGTAAGTCTCCTTAATCTTAGAAAACCTTTAGGGGCCCCTAATGATTGTATGCTCCATACCTTTTAGGACCCTGTAGAAACTTCATTTTATAACTAAGATTATTTTCTTTTGTTTAGATCCCTAAACCTGTTGACACATGTACAAATATCCTAAGGGTTAGAAAAAACTTTTTTTAGTCCCATGTATGGATGTCCAAGTTATGGGACTAAAAAATTTTTTTCTAACCCTTAGGACATCCGTACATGTGTCAACAGGTTTAGGGATCTAAATAAAAGAAAATAATCCTAATTATAAAATGAAGTTTCTATAGGGTCCTAAAAGGTAGGGAGCGTACAATCATTAGGGGCCCCTAAAGGTTTTCTAAGTTTAAGGAGACTTACAGCACCGATGGCAAAGACCCGGTGGTTCAGCCCGTAGTGCCCCCATCAGACAGAATGGGGGCGACTGATGCTCGGATCTGACTATCCATGCTCCTTCGCCTAGTGCTCCAATGCTCTCTCCTTTGCTCTCCAAAGATCACCTCGTAAGACATAGAAAAGATGGGTATTAGAGCACGTTCTATATGATAAGCAAATAATGATACAAAGAAATGAAAATACAATAAAAAAAGAATGTACAATTTTGTTATTTGCGCATTGGGTGGCCACTTGCTTTCTTTTTGGATTTTTTTATTTTACAAACATTTAATTTTAAAGCACAAGCAAGAAAAGCAGCAAAAAGACTAAAAGCAAAGAAAAAGACGATAAAGTGCAATAAAAATAAAATAATTAAAAATAAAAAATAAAAGAAATATATGAATTTTTATTGTATGACATACTTCTTTAAAGTCAAGTATGCCTCTAAAATGCCTTCACACCATGAATAGAGAAGAAGATATTTTTAATGACCTTTGCTATCCCCACATTCCAAACGAAGCACTTGACACATTTGACACAACTGACCAAACTATTTTCTAAATAAAGCCCAAAGCGAAAGGGGAACAAATTCTCAAAACTAAACTCAAAACAAGTCCTCTTTTGTTTCGTATTCATCCAAAATTCAACTTTTTAGAAGCAAACATTAGAGAAATATAACTCATATAAAAAAGATCATTTTGCTTCAAGAAAACACTAGAGAGCTTTCAAACACGAATCTATTTATAAATTTATAAATCTCAAAAATGACTTATGAAAAATTTCAAATAAAATGATATATGAAACCTTACATAAATCATCCACCAAAACACTTTTTCAATATAAAAACAATCAAGTGTTTTTCACATTTGATGTGGGGTAAACTCTGAAAAGTTTCTCAATGAGAAGGTATTGTGAAGCCTTCTATTATGAAACATTCACAAGACAACATAAAATTTCTTAATGCAAAACAACTCGCAAAGCTTTTCGTAAAGCTTTCTAATAATATAGTCATTCAAAAAAATCTTCCAACCTATAAAATTCTCTAAAAAATAAAGCATATAAACATTCTCCAAAATTTATTTACAAAAATAATTTGAAGCATAAAACAAATAAAAATATGCATCTAACTCCTCTCCAAATCAATTTGGAGTACAAAACACATCAAAATCTGCATTCATTTCTCACAAAAAAATAGTGAGAAAAACTATACAAAAGACAATAATTTCCTCATAAAAGCAAATAGGCTTCTCCTAAATGTTGTAGAAATTCTTGCGTAAAATCAATGAGAAAACCCCTGAAAAACTGCACTCATTTCTTACAAAAGCAGTAAGAAAATTTTTATAAAAACTGTAGGAATTTATACAAAAAAAAATGAAAGATCTACTCAAATGCCATAGGGATTCTTGTATAAAAACAGTGAAAAAATTCCTCAAAATTTGCACTCGTTTTTTCCACAAAAATCAGGGAGAAAAGCCATATAAGAGATGTAGGGATTTCCACAAAAGAAGCAATGCTTGCCAACAATGATTCATCAAGAATGAAGAGAGAACTTTCACATTCTCTTAAAAAGAAAAACAACATTCAAACATATCGAGAATCTATCTTGCTACCGATAAGAACAACACAAAAATAATTTCATTTTTTTTAATTATAACTCATAAGCAACCAAATATGTCATTCATAAACCAATGTCTCCAATCGAATGCAAATTATGCAATAATGAAGTTATATGAAGACTTGGTATGATCACAAGCATCTTGCTCATAAATCTCTTTCACTTTTCTTCTAATAGATAGGCATTATCACAAATACTTTATATGCGCATTTTACTAAAGAGACAACATGACCTCTCAAGACTTGCCACCGCTTACACCTAAACTTTTAAATCATGTAACATGCCTCAAGTTCAAACTCTACAAACCAATTCTTCATTGTTTTAAACAATATAAGTCAAAACTATATTTTGATTACACCATATGAAATCATTCGTAGCTAGCAATAATCATTATCACTTTCTAAAAGAATTAATACTCCATTTGATAATCAAATAAATATAACAAAATTAGATAGCAAGAAATGATAATGGACGCATCATCAAACTACTAGCAACAAGCCATTCCAACAATAAGTTGATGAAGATATAGTTATTCTTATTTACCGTTAACAATAAGTTTTTGAGCTCAAACAAGCAAATCATGTTGTATAATCCATTGACAATAAATTGATTATTCAGAAAAGATTAGTAAAAAAGAAGCTATGGAATCAATACATCACGAGCTATAATTTACAACCCCAGTCATCATTCTCACAATAAATATTAAGCATTCAACATTGAAGAAATTAGAGAAAGCTCTAGCAAATATAGCCATGTCTAACCTCTCACCAATGTAGAAAGGCAATGATATGAAATCTTCACACTAAATATGTCCATTGATGAAAAAATTTTACATGTAAGCTTGAGTCTCATGAATCACAATTAACCAAGCATCCCAACCTTCCTCCTATGACATTTAGTCAAACACTTGATGTGCAATATTTAAAAGATCACATGAAACAAGCTAGCATGGAAATCCAATATGCACATCATCCGGATTGGAATCCTCTAAATAATCTATACAAGAGCTTCACAATTCATATGACAATCATTCCAATAGGAAAATATGGGAGCATATACATGAAAAAAGAAAGTAGAGAACATTTCATTTCCAAATTTTACAAAGGATTTCAACATCATACATTCTTTTTAAGCTATCATGATTAAATAGGAAAAGGTAGAATAAGTAAAGGATGAGGAGAAGAAATAGAAATAAGAAAAAGGAGAGAAAAAAAAGAAGAAGAAGAAGAAGAAGAACACTCACCTTGCAAAGAGGATAAGGGAGGAACAACGACTAAGGCTAGGACCGAATGCAAGGAGCGACGGGAGCAGGGGAAGTCGCGATACGGGCGACTTCGGCCGGGAGCGAGGCGTCGGGTTCGGAGACCAGAGCCGGCGTCAGGTTCGGTCTGGGCGTGCGAAGGCGAAAGCAGAAGCAGGAGGGGGTTCCGCCTCTAGCTCGCGCGAACGCAAAGAGACGGAGGGGAAGAGGGGTTCCGCCTGGGTTGTGCGAAACCGAGAGAGAGAGAGGGGGCGGGTGCGAATAGGGAAGAGCTGGGTTATGTGAGCCTTCATTTTTGAGTAAAACGAATCTGTTTGCCGAAATAAGAAGCCCGCCTATCGTCGTCTCTCGCTTCAGCTTTTGAAATTATCTCAGAAGAAGACCTGCTCGCTGCTCGATGTCTGCCCGAGTTGCAGGAGATCGTCTGAAACGCGAGATTTGGGCTAAAACGAAGATTTCATTTAATCACAGCTGTTGAGGTAATTACCGGATTTAAGAAATGATTTAAATTAAGCTAAAAGTCAATTGGAGTGAGCTGGTTTGACTCAAATTTGGGCTAAAACCGGGCTCAATTCCAGGTCAAAATCTAGGTCAGTTTAGACTCGAGACGGTTCGACTTAGCTATGCCGGTGAAATTGCACCTAAATTGATATTAATTTAAATCAAATCGAGTTCGATGCAACCAAGATAAATTAATTGAGCTTAATTGAACATAGTCGAGTCTAATTTAAATCAATTCGGATCGATTCGTGTTCGAATTGGGCTCGACGAGGTCTAATTAAGTCGATCGAAAGTGCTCGAGAGTATGTAATATATATATATATATATATTACATACTCTCGAGCACTTTCGATCGACTTAATTAGACCTCGTCGAGCCCAATTCGAACACGAATCGATCCGAATTGATTTAAATTAGACTCGACTATGTTCAATTAAGCTCAATTAATTTATCTTGGTTGCATCGAACTCGATTTGATTTAAATTAAGCTCAATTAATATATATATATATATATAGACGAGGGCTTAATGCAGAAAAATATGATAGGCATTTTTTTACAACAATTTTTGTCTAAAGTCTTCCATAAGCATAGATCAGTCAATATATAACGACGACCTTGTATGGTAATAATGCAGTCAAAATAGTCGTAAATCGATGCTCACCACAACGATGCGTAAAAGAGGTCACATTAACAATTCGAGAAGGTGAGGTACTGTTCTTGATCAAAGGAAGAAGAATACTGGTCAACACAACAGCACTGATGTAGTTTGTCTGGATCATCCTGAATAAGCAAATAGCAAGCTATCAAGAAGTTAAGGCCTCTGTTGGGAAAACCTGTACACAGTTATTTTATTAACCTAAGATCACACCCCACATTAGAGCACAATAACTTTCTAATAATAAAATTACAGGATAAAGTATGTATTAACCATTGTCAACTCTGCATATAAAATTGATTAATTTATAATAAGGCCAGTATTATTAGTGTAATGAAGAAAAAGAAGAAACTTAGAGGAAATGAGAAATATACTGGTCAAATCCATCTGCAGTTAATCTGGCAGAAGTTGCTAATATCCCAGCATTGTTTATAAGGAGTTGAACCGAAGGATGGAGATCTGAATCAAGAAGCCACTGCTTAAAGGAAGTTTCAAACTTCATAATTGATTGAAGAGATGACAAGTCAACCTGGAATGCTTTAAGTTGAGCATCTCCATGCTCTAGCTTAATTTCCTGAATGGTCTGTTAAAATTTATAAAGGAGCTCAGCGCAGGGGAATCACAAATGTCAGTAGATTTAGGCTTCGTTTGGGACGGCTTTTTTATAGCTCCTTGAAGCAGCTTTTTAGTACAAAAAATTAAATTTTTTTACAAAAAAGCTGCTTCAAGAAGCAATAAAAAAGCCGTCCCAAACGAAACCTTAAAGGAACTTCAACTATCAGCTCCGAAACAAACCTTGTGTAAAGATTCAGCCGAACGCCCAACTGTGCTTCACAAATAATAAAAAGAACCATCAGAACAGATTTACAAGAAAATCGAGACCAGTAAAAATGTAGACTTGACGTAAAGAAGTTTTAAGACATGGGATATTCATAACATTGACAAACAAAGACCTGCTAAACTAGCTTGCTCAGAGAAAAAAGAAAGGGAGGAACGCTGGATGCATAACCCAGTGGTCTAGTGTGAGGAAAAAGGAATATTTTACAGGCTAGAAAAAAGCAAGCTTCCTGAAACTGAAGGAATGCAGCTATGACAATACTGTTTTCTTCAAAGTGCAATTGCATGGTAATACAAGGGCTCAATTGCTTACTTCATCAAATAGAAATTCTACATTTTTGGGAAACTGGGATTTCTCAAAAGAAAGACTTACTACCCAAAAACAAAGTTTCATATAATTAAGCAGTTTTAGGGCCAATGGTTCTTTCTAAGAAACTATGTTTTCCCTCATTTCTGAGAGGAATTCAGTTTACGCTATAAAAATCATAATTTCAAATTTCTTTCTAGTTACCACTGCTTAGCTTTTACTCCCCTATGATAATCATGTGGATCAAGGTTTGCTTCCTATTCTATGCATGCTTCGAACAATTTTGTACTCTCTCCTACTTCACTTTCTGTGCTAGAAAAACATGCCTTGGAAAGCACAAATAATTCTTAAAATATCAGCAAAGTTTTGATTAACTCTTAAATTCACTTAGTAAATTAATTTACAATTTAGAGGCCATACTTAAATTATTACAAATCTAATCTCATATTTATAATTTTACTGATTTTGAAAAGTGGAGCATGCCATTGTGGATTGAGAGAAGTATTTAACCAAAACTAATATTAGAATTTATGATCAATGATTCAATCATCTTCATGAAACGATTTGTATTCTTAGATACCCCTCATTACTTACTATACATTAAATTAAATTTTCTAAGAGGCCCTAGTACATTAGAGTTCTGATTATGCATGGAGAATAGAGACATTTGATCACGCTCTTCTTTTTCTCAATAGCTTTCCTATTCCTACGATTTCACAAGGGCTTAGCATTACACAGAGCAAAAAGAGCATTAAATCTTGATAAATAGGATGCCTACTTTATAATCAAATGACAGAGAAGTTAACGCAAATTCATCTTAAAAGGTATTGGCTTAAAACTTTGTGCTGCATATCAGGATAGATGAGAGTGAATTAAGTTTAATATATTTGGCCATGGTGTTATGATTCATCATTTCCTATTAATCCTTCTGAGTGTTGTCAGAAGTGTTTTTTTTTTTGTCATAAGTCAAACCATTATTTTTCTAATCTGCTGACATTAATTATAAACTCCTCTAACAAATGTATTTTTTACCTCTTATTGTGCGTATTCAAATCATCTAACTATATTTTCAACTCTCTTATCTTCAATAGATGTCACTCCAACCTTTCCTAAAACATAATCATTCTTTAATTTATCTATCCTAATTTTGTCATACATCTATCTTAATATTCTTAATTTAATCATACTCAATTTAGATATTAATGATTTTTTTTACAACTTAAGATTCAGATATATATTAAATTATCAACCTAATTGTAGTTTTATAAAATTTACTTTTAAGGCTTCTTGATATCCTCTTATCACACAAAATCTTAGAGGCAATTTTCCATTTTAAGTATTCAGCCTTAATTTTAGAAGCTATTTCCTCATCTATATATCCAATTTTAAATTATAAGTCAAAGAAACTTAAATCTATCACACTTAAATATTACCTCTAATAATATTAAACGACAATTGTTAACATCACATCTACTATAATTACATATCATATACACAGTACTTCAATGATTATGCAAAAGCTAGAAATTTTGCAAAGAGAGTAATTAGTAAAGCAAAAGTTATAGCTTTTAATGATATATATAATATGATTGGTATTAAGAAAGTGAATAATACATAAATAAAAAAATTTGTATACATGTCCAACAACTCAATACTATATTTTCCCTATTCAATTGGGGTACAATCTAACAATTTTTATAGTTCAGCTTCTTCTCTCAAATCCCTCAAGCAGATTCCTTTTAATAGAGAGAAGCATCATTAAACATCATTTCATTAGTCTCATATAAAGGAACTGTTCTGTTTAGCAATAAACACTCCTATGCAAATGTACATAATTTCCTTTAACTCCAGAAGTGTAGAAATGCAAGGTTTTGGGCTTTCTAATTCAATTTAATGTAGATTCAAAGTAATCTATTCCCTTCAGTGGTAAAAATATCCAAATTTATTGTATTTAAGTTGCACCAGTTTCATGAATAAAAAGGCTAAAAATTCGTTTTAATGTAAAAAAAAAGTAGAGCTACTTTACATAAAACCAAGCAATTCCCCCTCCCCTTTTCAGAAAAAAAAAAAAAGAAGAAAAAACAAATCTTTACCTACTTTCATTTTATCTTCATCTGTTTTGTAGAGCCTGAACAATTTCTTAATGCAGAACAAAATCCCGCTTTACTTTCTCAATCCATTTCAAAACCGACTTAGTGCAGGATAAATGTTTGAAATAAAGGTACTGAATATAAGCAATCCTCAGTTTCTCACCAAGAACGACATTATAGCCCTCGCCAGCTAAGGCCCGCGCTGCTGCCGACCCCAAGCCCGAAGTCGCCTGCAATCCCCAAAAAAGCGCAATTAGATTCACTTCGAAAGATAACGTAATAGCCATAATCCTGGTATATACAAGAGAAAGTAATAGCCATAATCGCCATCAACAAAAAAGAAAGTGTATTCTTACCCCTGTAATGATGCAGATGGGACGCTTGAAATCGCCGCCGGCGGAATCGGGAACTAAGCAGCGACGAAAGTGCTGTCTCGGCAGCGGGCGTCGTCGGAAGAGGGCGGCAAGGTTGAGTCGGGCGTAGCAGTAAACGAGGGTGAGGGGCCATATAATAGCCATCCTCCAGAACTCGCGCGAGAGGACCATCTCGATCGCCGCTCGGTCAATGCGCATTGCGCTGGTTTCTTTGGCTTCCCCCGACAATCTTGAGAGACTGTGGTAGTACTATTTTAAGTAAGATTGAGTTTAACTTAACTCCGGTCGTCTCACGAACTCCTCTTCATCCTCACACGTCGCTGGTCCGCCGACGCCTTCTCCGGCGAGCTCCCGTCGCGGCTTCCTCACTTCTTTGTCGAGGGTTTTGGGAGGCAACTTTTATTTGTTCCCGTGAACTTACGCAACTCTATAGAATCGCTAAGGGTTTTCATTGTACCAAGTTTTTTCTAGCAATAGGTAACAAATACCTAGCAATATCAAGTAAATCCCTAGCAATATCGAGCAAATATCGAGTTGTACCGAGTTGTAGAAAACTCGGTACAACTCGGTATTTGCATGGTATTAATCTTCATAGAGCGGTATTTCTCGTTTTTGCAAAGCAATACCGAGCAAATACCGAGCAATACCGAGAAAATCTAGAACATAGCATTCTCGGGTTCCGATCCGGGTCAAGTCATCGGGCTACGCGGTAAAGAGTAAGAGCACGTGGGGACATGTTATTGGCGGCCGAACGTAGCTCTACGTCTGATCAGAAGACGTAATAATTGTTCTTTGGGAGGAGGTTTGCTTGAATAAATCTTGGTAGGTAATAATATTCAATTAAAAATATATTTGAGTTAAGTTTTGTTTGGGACAAATTTTTTATTGCTTCGCTTTTTAAAAATCAATTATAATTTTTATTTTGCCATTTTTTTTTACTTTTAAAAAAAAAATTGTGATAGAAAGCTGCTTTTTATAACAGTTTTTAAAAAAATTAATTTCGTCATAACAATTCTTTAATCATCTTTAAAAAAGCTGCAGCCTTCATAAATGAATGCTTAGTATCCTATTAACTATGCTCAATCAAAACAATGGAGGAATTGTATTGTCAATTAACATTCATTTGATTTGTTAAGGCAACATTAAAATTAAATTGAACAAATGCTATATATTAGAGTCCTAAGTTTATATTGAAGCAAATGGGGTCAAAGATAGGTCAACCATGGAGGAAAGGGTTAGGATTCTAAGGTCAATCTAACCTTAATGATTTTTTTTTTTATTTTTTTTAGTTTTCAATTTGTCTCAAGTTTTGATGATGAAGATAATCAAATCTCACAAGGATATTGAATATAGTTACCTACCTCTAAAGTTGACTAAGATTCAATATTACGAGGTGATTTGATTAGCTCAACTAGGGTCACTAGGCACAATATGTTGATTTGTAAGTGTTCGTAAAAAAAATTATATAGGAGGTCACATAAGCCTAGAAAGCGAGAAATTATTATGTGCGGACATGTAACGCCGTTCAGAGACCAAACAAAATGTGCAATGTCACAGATATTGATATCGCAGGTTGGTACCACTGACATGACGCATTTTAGTTGGTCTCCAGACGTGAGCTGCGTCTGGTCTCCGCACATAATAATTTCTCTTAGAAAGCAAAGGGGAATTGAAGAACCACCCTAAACCTAATAAAAAAATGTGGCAAACAAATTGAACCCTAATAGTTTTGGTAACATTTCAAAATTAAATTGCACATGATGGCATTGATCAAAGCAACCAATTATAGACATCCATTTGAAGATAATTAGTCAAATTTATGAAAACCAATTTTAAAAAAAAATTATTCATAAGATAACTTTACTCAAACTTATGAGTTTATTCTTATCAATAGTTATCCTATGAATTTAAGTTAACCAAGAATATGTAAGAAGATCAATACATTTCAAGACTTAAGGGTTAATTTAAACTAATCTATGATAACTAAGATTTTTCTTGGAAGAAAGGTGGAAAAAGCAAGTCTATGAATTTCAAGGTAGCCAAAACTTTTTTGGTCAAAGGTATGAACTTTAAATAGACAAAGACTATTTTAAAGAGTTCAATAGAATCTATGAGCTACCTATGAATTTCAAGGTCTAATCTATGCATTTAAAAGTTCACTATGGATTTGATTGATTTACCTCTATGTTTTGAGGGAAAATATGTGTGGCTTTTGAGTTTCAAGATCGAACTTATGAGTTTCAAGATCCAAACTATGAAGAAATTATTAAATGCGGAGACCGTATGCGGAGAAAAGTTTGATTTTATCTATTTGAACAATAAAAGCGTAGTGTTGAATGATAAAATCATAGTAATAAATAATAACTGAACTTTTATTATTCACAGAAACAAAATCAAACGGTTCTTTATATCTAATCTTCGCACGTAATAATTTCTCCAAACTATGAGCTTCAAGACTGTAAAATTATTTAGACTTTTTTTTAAACAACTTCATTATTACTTTCTAAAACAGCTTTTTAATACAAATTTTTTAATTTAAAATTTTTTTAATAAGCAAATATTTTTAAAAACAATAAGAAAGTTGTCTCAAACGTAACCTTAATCTTATAAATGAATTTTAAGATATATTAAGATTTATATGAATTAAAAGCTTTCAAATTTTGAAAAAAGTAAAAAAAGAAGAATTTATTTAGTAGTTAAGAACTAATTGGAGGAATCTAAAGTTGAGGAAGATCAAAAGGTCATTTGAGTTGATCTATGATGATGTTTTTTTCTTTATCTTTAGGTTAAATTTAAAATTTTCTTCTAAGAAAATGACATATTTTAGAACAACAAATGAATTTAGATCATAAGTTGATCAAAATATTTTATTGAAAGCTTCAATCACCCTATTAACTTTAAGATAATAAATAATTAAATTACTAAATTAATTTAGTAATTTCAGCATTTTAAAATATAAACTATTAGCTTATATGATTTGGCATGGCACGCCAATTTGATAAATTATATGGTCTCAAGAAAATTGAAGTACATGATTAGCTTTGACATATATCAATAAGATTACCACTATATAAGAGCATGTAATAGCTAAGCTTCTGCATAACAAAGATCAATGTAAGACAATATTTATAATACATCAACCTGAGTAATATAATGCATTATTTTTACTATTTATCATGAACTTGTGCTAAGAAGCTCGAAGAGATTCTTCGAGGGCTACTGTATATAAAATTAATGATTTCAATGAGATACAACAACAACAATATCAAGCATATATTTCACTGTGGGGTCGGCTACATGATTCCTTTTTCTCTATGTACCCTGTTAAAATTTAAATTCTCATTAAATCTAATAAAGAAATGTCATTTCTAAAATTTTCTAACCAAATCTTTTTAGATCTACATTTACCTTTCTTAATCTAATGCATTTACTTTCTTAACCGGATTATCGAAAGTCAGCCATTTTATGTGACCAAACCATCTAAGGTGACTCTCTCTAATCTTATCATCCACTGGAGCTACTCCAACCTTTTCACATATATGCTCATTTCGTATCTTGTCTCTAAGCGTGAAGCCACTCATCTACCGGAGCATCCTCATCTCTGCAACACTTCACTTAATATTATGTTTTTCTTTTAATGGCATACATTTTTGCACCATAAAGCTTTGCAAGTCTATCCACCATCTTATAGAATTTTCAGTCTTATAAAATTTGAGGACTTTTCTATCATACAACAAACCCCTTCAACCATCCAACTTAAATTCTACTAATAATATCCTCATCTATTTCACCATCACTCTGAATAATAGACTCAAGATATCTAAAACGTGTACTCTTATTAATGACTTGAACATCCAAAATCGCAATCCCCCACAAGAACTATTATTACTAAAATTACAATATATATATTCAGTTTTAGATCTCCTCAATGAGATAGGAGCAGTAAAATTGGCATCAATACAGGAAATTCTTTACAAAAAGATGACAATGAGTTCTTTATGAGCAAGTTTCTTGAGATTTCAATACAAGGAAACTGGAAAAATCAAAGCATGAAAACTTCAAAAGATTGAAACTAAAGGAATTTAACCTGCCTTGAGTGGAATAGTGAAAGGCAACGGCTAAATATAAGAAAGATCTCTATTTAAAAAATGTAATGCGTTATGATACTACCAACAGATATTAAAAAAAGCTTAATACAGTTGAATAGCCATTACAGATCTGTTTTCAAAGAAAATACAGCCATTGTCAGAGAGCTCTTGTACAAAATGTTTGCAGAGATATGAAATCAAACGGTCAAATGGAAGAAGTTACTTCAAGAGAGAGCTCCCAGGATAAATATTGCAACCAAATCAAGCCTAAAAATGCATCAGGAAACAGCAACTTGCTCCAGGTGTTGTTCAAAAGATTTTATCGAGGAACAGAAATCCCTAACTCTGGAATCAGCATAATAAAAAATGTATCAGCAATATACATATTTGATTTGGAATAAGAATTGATAACTAGAAAGCAAGTCCAACGACTTAATGACTGTAAATTTTTTGTTGTGTATTAGAGTTTTTGTGCTAAAACTGTGTTTTAAAAAGCGATGAAAAAGTCATGCCAAACGAAGCCTATATTGCAAAAAATAAAAGCTGAGAAACCTTTAAATATATGTGAAAAAACCTAAAGAAGCGAATTCAAAAAAAAAGAACTATAGTGTAGGTGTCCTCTAACTAATGCTTCATTTGGGATGACTTTTTTCATGTTTCTTAAAACAGTTTTGTAGTACAAAAATTAAAAATTTTATACTTAAATACTGCTTTAAGAAGCCGTAAAAAAGTCATCCCAAACAAAATCTTAATTGGTAAAGAAGTTATTGCTAAGAAATTAGATTTGAATCATTCCTAAATAAAATTTATGCTTTGGCACTCACGAGAATCAAAAGGAATATGATTATCTAACATAGAAATGAAGTTTTTTTTTGTTTTTTATCAGTTGGTTATTGTGTGTAATAATCAAAAGAATAAATACATACACCAAGGCATATATAAAGACAAATTACTATAATTAGATTAGCTAAGTTGTAAGAAACTAGTTGTTGGGAAAAAAAGCAACTGATAGTTATGAGTGAAAAGTTAGAAAGGATAAATTGAAGAATGATTATAACAGAAGAACATTTGTTATAGCATCTATTAAACATAGCATTGTTGAAAATAGAACTAGTAGGTTTGCATGTATGTAATAAAGGGTAGAAAATACAACATATTAGACACGAATAAAAGAATTATAAAGAATAATCAAAAGACATGAGATAACATGGTTAAAAGTTCAAGAGATTTACGAATGATAGACTTTAACAGATTGAAGCACTCAGACATGAATGAATGAAAAGATAAGAATTCATACAATCACCCCAAAAAGTTGGAATAAGGCTAACGATGATGATTATAGTCATATGTTAAATTCATTACTATAATATCATGCATAGAAATTTAATGTACATTATAATATATTATACATGTATGCACAAAAGTATGTATATGTTCATGCATGAGAGGTATTACAATTTCATGAGTAAATGATCAAAATGATCCCTAAACTTTTGAATACATCCATTTTAATCCATAATTTCAAATGTTCAAATTTGGTCCTCAACTTAACAAAATTTAAACTACCTTGGTCCTACCATCAAATTTTTTCATTTCTTTGGACAAAAGTTGTTGGAGGGAATCATTTCAAACGGGTATTTTAGATATTTTCAAGTAAATTTCAATAATTTGAAATGGCATTAAATAGTCAAATTGACCCTAAAAAGTCCAAAATCAGAAGTTTCCTCCAGCAATCACTATCTAAAGAAACAACAAAGTGGATGTACGACCAATTTGATTTAGATTTGATAATTTGAGAGACTAAATTGAACATTTCAAAAAATATAAGACTAAAATTAGCACGCCTAAAAAATCTACGGAAAATTTTGATCAATTACTCATAATTTCCACAGAATGTGAGAGTATCATATTAATAACTTCCGGAACTATGAATTCAAATCATCTAAAGCTCAAAATCAAATGAACAAGAATGATACTTCACACATCCCACTTCCCACATCCACCAACCACCAATTAGCTGAAGTGATTTAAGTCACTTTTGATTTCTCACTTCTTATATGAGACCCAACAAGCCCTTAACGGAAATGAGCTTCAACTAAAAAATTAAGGGTAATAAGAGGGTAGGGCCATCAAAAAGAACAAATACCCATCATTATTGAAAAAATTATTACATGAAAACTCCTTTCTTGGTTGTAATTAAACTTTTCTCTAACCTTCTAACAAAACTCAACTACTTGATGTAAAAATGCAATAATTTATTTAACTAAAAAAAAAAGTTTTGATTTAGTTTTGATGTGAGTGGCTAACCAGTAAACAAGATACAGGAAATCTTACTTTTTTTCTGTCTGATTTACTGAAAAAAAATGAATTCGCATATCAGCTCAATTTTTAATTTATTCCCTCTTGCACTCAATTTGGCTGCATTTACGGGAGTTTCTTTCATACTGTATAGTATTTGCCACAAGCCAAATAACCCCGATACAAAGAGAATGCTTTAAAGGTCAAAGAATCAATAGTATTATTCTAAAGTGCATTTCTTTCAGGAATGAGTGATGAAATGTTCTCTTTATTCTGTGATGTTTTTACCAAACATCTTCCCTACAACACAAGGTTATTTTTGTAGGACATATTTTAAATTCAGTTCATTTTCCTATGACAAATACACACTATATTAACTAAAACAAATTTAAAAACCCGCCTGGAAATCTAAAATAACAACAGTTACTCAAGAAATAATCATCTCAAGTAGGTCAAATTAAAGCAAAAAAATAAAGCCTGATCATTTATTCCAAAAAAAAAAAAAATTCATTCTCATATAGGACCTATACAAACTACATACCATGAGCATGACCAAAAGTCTGAACCAGTTCTAGAACCTATACAAACGCCAAAGAAGGTAATCCTGATTATGAATTGGCCTACATTGAATCATGTTTTAATGACCTTGAAGAAACTATTGCCTTGAGGAAAAGTGTAAGAATATGTACCAATTACCCATCTAAAATTTTGTTTCCTATGCTAGTCTCCTCACCTAACTTTCACGCCACCATCATCAATCTCAACCAAGAGCAAATCACAGCATCCTTTCATGAAGCTACTAGAAGTCCTAAATGGGAAGTTGTTTTCCACGAATATTGAGGGTGAGAATCCCACATTTCTTCCACCCGCCTCACATGACCCGATCCCCATGGCTCGGATTGTCCCCCTAATTCTCCAGTCATCCACTCCTCTTGCCCAAAAGACTTTCCATAGTGGTCGGCCACCCCACCACCTCCACCACAAAACTCCCTTCTTATTGTCCCCACATCTGGAAACCCTATTATACACCTTATCGGAGCCCTAGGTGGTGGTTCTTGACACTCTCCTTCACTGATGGCCCACTCCCTTGCCCAAAATGCCGCTCATAGTGGTCAGTCACCATACTACCTCCACCAAAAAAATTCCCTCACTGCAGTTCCCTCATCCAGAAACCCTGATTTGCCCCTTATCGGAGCCCCAGAAGATGGCTCTTGATGAAAGAAACTCTCCTCGTTGAACTCCTCTCATCCGATATCTTTTCTCTTCAATTCTGCAAAGGGAATCCAGGTCAAATCTTGGTAAGGGTTATCATTAGAACCACCAGTGAAGTTTTGGATTGCATCTCCATGAGCTTCCTCATCATCTCCTCCAACCTTCCTAATTAGTTTTCCAAAGATGAGAACCTTCTTTCCATGGTTGAGAACTTCTCCTCCACGCCGGATTTAATTTGCTCCATCTCACTTTAAAATCCCTCCACCTTCTTTGATTCCATATGTCCCAAAAAAAGTGCTCTAATACCAATTTGATACATCTTAAAAGTAAAAATAGTGAAAGAAGCAAATAGAAATGACAGGAACATGAAGATAGGGGCTGATTTTTTATCATCTCTTCCATAAGAAAGAAAGAAACAAGTGAACTACTATTCGAGAGGTAGATCAGCTATCCCACAAATCTTAGACGCCACTAGGAAGCCCTCAAAGGAAAAAAACTATAGCAAACACAAATCACACATAATGAAAATAAAACAATCTAATTATCTTTAAATAAACCATTATATTTTCCTCCCAAATTTAAATTCAAATCAGTCTGCTTTCCCTTAATAAAACCTTCCTAATTCACTCCCAAATCTATATTCAAATCAGCCCTCTTTTCTTAAATAAACATTTCCTAATTCGCTCCCAAATCTAAATTCAAACCAGTCATATTTCCATAAATAAACTTTCCTAATTATTTCCCCCTTAATTCCCATCCTAACATAGTGAATATTAATTCCCCTGGGCCCCACAAGATCGGCCCCCATAGCGTATTACATAGGCTCTAAAAAAGAACAATATTTGTAAATTGTCACTGAACTACCTCCAAAAAATAAATATGTTTGGATGTAAGTGGTTATTATCGATCAATCATCCAGTTGATGGAAGCATAAAAAGATTCAAAATTGGCGAAAGAGTTCACTCAATCATATGAGATCAACTATCAAGAGATTTTTGCTCATGTAGCCAAATTGAACACTATTTATGCACTCCTAATCCTTGCCACTAATCTTAATTGGCCAATCTATCAATTGGATGATAAAAAAATTTTCCTTAATGGAGATTTTAAAAAGAAGTATACATCAAAAAACATTCTTAGATCCACACTCATTTGACTGCAAACAAAGTTTGTATGAATCCTTTTTCTCCATTGTATCCTGTTAAGAGTCAAATTCTCATTTAAATCTAATGAAAAAGAATCATATCTAATATTTTCTAATCATATATTTTTAAGTCTACTTCTACCTTTCTTAACATAGGCCAAATCTTAATACATCTACTCTCCTAACCGGGTTCCAAGCCCTGGATGAGAAAATTGGATGGTTGTGTTAGGTAGTCGGCCGACAGTGTAAAACTTCTCGAATAATCATGACCTGAATAATTTAACATATTGTGTACAAACAAAATTTTCAAGCTTTAAAAATGTTTGTATGGCTTAAAATAATCTCCTTGGACAAGGTTTGATGGATTTAAGAAAGTTGTCAAGAAATATGGTTATATTCAATGTCAAGATGATCACACATTGTTCATAAAGAGGTCTTATAAAGGCAAGTCCAAATCCTAATTGTGTTGGTTGATGATACTATTCTTACAAGAGACTTTACTAAATAGACGCTTGTTATCAAACATCTATAACCTTAAAACTTTGAGATTAAATACTCCAGCAATAGTAAGTACTTCCTAGAGATGGAGACTACCAGAACTAACAAAAGAAACTATTGTAACATAGCACAAGTATATGATAGATCTTTTAAAAGAAACAAGAATGTTGGGAGGCAAACCAGATATTATTTA